CACTTTTACGGTCTACTTTCCTCATAAAAAGCCGGCATCAGGTGAGCGGGGCGTGCTGGGTGCCTTGCTCATGAGAAAGCCAGGGAAAGTGCATTACTCTCAGTTTACCATTGAGCGATTGGGTCTGTTCGTAGAAACTGCATCAACTAGGATGAAGACTACTCGGAGTGTTCACCATGCACGAGCTGTCTGCTCGTCTGCGCCCCCTCACCGATACAGTGTGACAGGTTCCAGTCAGAACATGCCCCCTCCCACCGCATCCTCCCCTTGCACTGTGTGACGAGATTCTAGAGCTTGAGGGAGTGATTAGAGCTTAGTCTCGCTGGAGAGTGCCCCCTCCTAGGCACATAGCTCGCAAGGTTTTCCGGAAATCAGGCTATAATTCTGCACAAAACTTGTTTCGAAGGTGGTTTGCACATTAGCACGAATATCGTAGGTTTACACATTCGTTGCGAAAATGCCTGGCGCCGCTAGGTACCCACATCAAATCAGCCCAACCCACCATATTCCTTCTCAGGGGTGGAGCTCTTGAGGTCAAATCCCAGCCTAGAGCCCATGCCAGGGACAAAAGTGAAATCCAAATGCAAACTTCGAAAGTGGGGTGGTGAAGGGTTAACTTTCCCGGTTACTTTCAGCGAACATTGGGGTTTTGGAAACTTCGGAGAACATCTAAAGGCAGTGGACACGATGGTTGGGGGCTTGCGGTCGCTAACAAAGTCACTGGTGGAAAGGCTGCGATAGGGCCTGTGGCCACACCCCATTCAGCCCTTACACCAATGACGTTGGTGACGCCGTCGCCCCCCAGCCATTGTGCCCACTGCTTTTAGTTTAACACACTCACCTTACCCAAACCACATTGTGCCCGGACAGCTGTGTAGCCAGGAACGCCGTGATCTCGGCCTTGTTTCAAGGCCATGGATATCAAATCCAGTCCGAGTAGGAATTGATCCTTCAAGAATTCATCCTTTATCTCGTCGTTCACTCGTAGTGCTGGCTTGGCAATAGTTGTTGAAAGAAGGTGTCTGTGATGAACAGCATTGCTTCGGAAAGAAAAACAAACAACAAAAAACAAACAAACAAACAAACAGTGATAGAGCGGATGTGCTCACCTTAAAATCGTTTCCACACCACGTGTTTCGTACAGTTTTGTTGGATTATTGAACTGAGAGAACAGGGGATCTTTGGGTAAAAGCGACCACAGAACGTACGGGGAATGTAACCGCGAACTCATTCAGAACGGCTCCGTCTATCGTCATATCGTAGTCAGAATCAAAACCGGAGTCGTGAAGCGCCAACCCATATTTTCTGAAAATGTGGAATGTTCCCTCGATGTGAACCGGTAAATGGGACGAAAGGAGGACTAGGAGGAGTTAGGATCAGCAAGAAAGTTGGAAATGTGAAAATATTTGAAAAATAACTCATTGAACAAGAGAGGGAATAAAGGCATCTACATTACGGGATGTGGGCGGGGCTATCTATCTAGAAGGCGGAGCTCCTGTACCGAGAACTCTGAGTCAGTTGAGTATGGTACGTACACAGGAAATGGAATTCGGTGCACGAGGGATTATCACTGTGGTGGGCGGAGCTCCTCAAGGATGAACACATCGGGCCAACCACGAAAGGCATGCATTGGTGACGTAATTTGATGGGCAGAATTGTCTAGGGTCAACTTCGAGAGGCACTGAGTAATGGTACCCATATACACGGTACAGCATCGTGATGTGTGAAATGGTGGTGTAGCTACGACCCCCCCCCCTCCCGCTTCCGAGAGAGGCCGTGAGTAGGTGTCAGCACGACCCCCTTCACCCAAATAGGGGTCTCGGTACGACCTCCCCCTACCTTTAAGCTACCTTTAAAGTCCCGTAAATTCTTGTAACCAAAGTGATTCTTGTTCCATTACACCATTTCTCAAGAGTTCACAGGTCTTATCAAATGAATTGACCTGTTAACCAACATGAATCAACAAAAGGAACAAATGAAAATGCAAAATACCCCTTCCAAGCCCAACAGCATCCTCTTCTGTTCCAAATCATTGTCGTTTGCCACAGATAGTGCACGGGACCAAGCCTTTATATCGATAAAGCGCTAAGTTCCCTGGTAAGAAGCTTTTTCAAAGTTCAGGGTTGGTCAAAACTCCGTCTCGTCGTCAGAGCAGTGAAGGGGGATGACCCCGCCCACATTTCATTTTTCGCTACCGTATATATATGACCTCATGAAGAATGTTGAATGTGAAACACAACAACATCGCCACGAAGTTTGAAATTCGGAATCATGGCCCTACTTACATGACATTTTCCCGTCCGACCATAATCGGCAGAAACTCGTTGTAGGTGATGTGCTGCAGTTGAGCGCTAACGATACGTCGAGCCTCTTCGAAAAGTCGCGAATCTGGCCAGTGTCGATTTTGTTCCTGGAAATAACTTTTTTTTCGGAAGAAGTGTCAAAATCACAAGTGAAGATTGAAAACTTAGAGCCGATTTTCTGAAATATGCATGCAGTTCGAGCTGATCGTGTAAGCGGAGACAGCCCTCAAAAGTTTCTTCCCCAACAGTGCGTTGTTCCCCTAAGACACTGAAGAGGAAAGGCGCTTGACTATCTCCGCCCACACGAGTGACGTGGAACTGTAAATTCAAACGTGCTTACCCTTAGCAATCGAGCTATTCGATTATGCTGTTTAATGAAAATTGCATGCAGAGAGGTGACTCCAGGCAAAATATTCGCATCATCGGAGCCGGATAACATACATCTGGAACAACCATACTAATCTGTAACTACTAGAAAAGTACAGTATGATAACAAATTCAATGGCCATACCGTCCTTCAATCTGACATTTGATATTCGAGTCGGCTTGTGGAAGTTCGCCAGCACTGGAGTACGTCCGGAGTAAGCCTCAAAGGGAAGGCAGCACGGGGTGAAAGTAGAAAGAGAAAGAAAAGTTCAAAAAAAGGAATCATTGAAATACATGGAGAGATGATCGAGGCGCAGTTTGTCGACGAGGGGGCATTCTGCTTTCCATAGATGTGCCGACCCATCTAGGTAGCCTTTTCTCGAGTTGACACGTTTTAGGATGGTGGCTAGACGATCTTGCTCCAGCTTCACAAGTTTCACAAGTTTTACCAGAGTGAGATTTGTAAACCGGAACCTGGGAAGCAATGGTAGTACAAAATGCCCCCCCCCGTCGACAAACAGCGCCGATGATCGATAAGGAAAAAGAGGCGAAGTCGTCTAGTTATTCTAATAAGCCGTACTGTCATAAATCAGTACCCGTTGCCCTGAGAATTAGAAGGCTCTAATCGGAGTCGAGTGAAAGGGGATCGTGCTCGATTACCGGCCCTGTATCTTTCTGTGTCTCTCCTGCCATATATACATGAGTCTCTGCCTCTCTCTTTCGTATGGACCCTTCCAACCGTCACTCGCAGCTACGCCCCTTGTTGTCCCAGGTATAGGGCACCGAAAATGAACAAGTGCGAACGCCACGAAGGATAGATGATCTGCAAGTTGCCCCCTATACCGATCCTTTTCCAGACGCTGCCCACGCATAGTGAGCATGATCTGCCTCAATCGTGATGTGCTCAAATGCCATTCGAGATGATGCCCCCCACCCTTTCCCCTCTCAATATGGCTTATCTGCACTTTCTCCCCCCCCCCGTACCCTCTTGCTAAGTTTTCAAGCTTCCTACAATTTTCCCGAAAACTTTCCGGGGTTTTCCGCTTGAAAACTGCCGTGCGAGCGGCAGTGAGGGGGCGGCGCATTACTCGAATGATATTCAGGATGAGTGCTCCACCAATCAACTCTGGATTTCAGCTGCTAAAAATAATAGTATTTGAATGATGATGGTGCGGCGACGGCAACCAAGAGGTACGGAACACACTCTTTTCTGCCCTTACCGGCAGGAGCACACAATGACGTCATGGACAGTTTTTGGGAAATAGACCCCCACATTTTTCTAACTTTTCCATTTCAGCAAGGATGGTCAGGGGGGAGGAGACACTTCTGATCAACCATCTCAATGGTATTTTTGCAACGTCGCCAACTAGAACATGCTACAGTACGCGTAAGAGTGGAAGAATCAACAATAGGAACAAATTTCTAAGAGATTTCTTCCTCGGCGAATTGAGACCCCTCCCCATCTCCACCGGCCACTCCCATTGTCTTTCGATCCACAGCCGGAGCGGTTATCGTTCGGGTCGGCCAACTCCGACATTGTCTGCGGCGCTAGTTCGGCGTCGGGGGGAGAGCATTTTGCCACTGTTGCTTACTTCCCACCCACGTGCCGAACCTATCTAGGCAGCCTCTTTTTGGGTTACAGGTTTAACATGATATATAGAGAGGAATGGCGTTGCACGCGGCGAGACGCGTAAGAGATCGTAATTCGCCGCACCGCCACGCGCGGCGATGGGCGCGGCGTTTTCATAACTCGTTTTAACCTGTCGAATGGAGCACCGAACTTCATGTAGACCCCGTCATCGTAGACAGTCATTACTGCTTTCGGTCCTTAATTGCATTTTGTCGCCATCTACTACCTGGAACCATCGTCCTTTGCAGACTAGGCGTCGCACGCGACGCCAGCAGCGCGGCGAAATTTACCCCATCCTCTGTCACATATCGACCTTGCTCCAGCTTCAGACAAGAAGTTAACCAGGTTATTGCCAGAACTTTGTTTTTTTTTTTAAAAAAACGGCAACTAGGAGCTAATGATAGTATAAATGTCCCCCCCCCCTCCCGTTGCCGCACTGCGTCTACTATCGGGATGATAGGACGCAGAAACGAAGAAACTTGGTGCATTTTCAGCATCGAAAATTTACTATTTCTTGAAGAGTCAGAATTGAAGTTATATAGTGACAGTGATTCCTCGACCGATGTCAGAATATTGGACCCACTCACCTTGTGAAAAACTACGCATCTGTTTCGCTCGTTCAGGACTGGAGCCATAGATGACACTACCGTCAAGGTAAGCCGAGGCGAAATTGGCTTGTTCTCGAGGACCAAGTGCACATCCAAGCTTTGGAGCGACCATTGTACGAGCATGTGGAAGACATGTCAAACGACCCCTGAAAGGATTGAATAGCAGTAGGAAGCATTAGTTTGTCTTCAATTATCCCGATTTAAAAAATAAAACGGATAACACCTGCACAATATCAACAACCGACAATAGCGCAACGAGGAAACTCGTCCACTTTGACATCCCTTATCCTTGTCCTATATGGGCTCCCCTGATATTTTTGAGCGAAAACACGAGGAAAAAGGCAATAAACTGGAATGCTGTACCGAAAATCACGCACGGTCTGCGAAAAATTAACAAACGTGTATTTAAGCCATATTTTAGAGAATTTCTCATGTTGCGGGAGCGGCGCCACCACCGTGGCTTCCTTTTCTCCAAATGAAGTGCACCTCCTAGTTCTAGGACTAAACGAATAAAGGGAATAGTTATGGATGGCCCGCTCTTTTCGGGTCGGGTTACCTTCTGTAGTTCTCTCTTGTACGAAGCAATGGCTATACGTTATAGAGATAATTTGGCGCTTTTGCAGCGCTTAATGCGCTATTCCGTTAGAAAAGTGTAAAGGGTAGCAAGCGCCCCGATGAAGAAGACCTACGGTGCGCCTGACCCCGCCCACATTGTGAGTGCGGACTGTGTATCTTTCCATACAGTCCACTGAAGCTGTGGTGTTCCCACCCTCAAGGGTGATCAATCGACATCGGGGTTTTTATGGCGGAAAATCCTCCTAAAAAGGCAATCCACCCATAAATGTCACAAAAAAATCTAAATTCATCTACATTCAAGAAAACTCGGAGTTCGTTTAGGCGTAGGGCAAACAACATGTATGGCATATTGAGATTTGAGGAGTTTTACGCCCAGCCGGGCACCCGCCGAAAAACACAGCGGAGTAATTTCGTAATTTCGCCGCTGTTGAGGGAAAGTCATAACTGCTCCCGATTTTCTTGATTATCGACTTTTTCCCAATTCAGCCGCCCACAGAATTCCATGTCCGGGTCGTATTTGGGTCGATGGGGAGCGGTGCTTTGTAAAAGTTTTTTTGCGCCACGAGAGATGATCTTCCTTCTTGTGAGCGGCGCGACAAAACTACTCTATTTCCCTACGGTGAATTGTGATTGTTTAGA